TAGTGAATTGTCAAATCAAAAAAGAAAACAACCCAAGCAGTCCACTAATCAAAAATAGCCTCCAATAGATAGCTTAAAGCAATAACAACTCATATAGCCAATACCAAGAGCAATAGAAGAATAACCAAGTACAATTGCGATTCAACTGGAACAGTAGCACAACAATGCAAAAGCAACAAGCTACAAGGGTAGAATCAACAAAATATCAAAGTACAAATTTAAATGACCCGTGCCAACTCAACAAAATCCAAAGGAATGCCAACAAAAGAAAACAACCCAAAGTCCAATTCAGGACCAGTAACTAGCAACCTAAACCAAGTTTATGTAGATTCAATTTACCCAAATTCAAAACTCAATCAAAGAACTAGCAATTAGCCCACAAGAATATAATAGTCCAAAGCCCAATAGTTAGCCCAACGGCCAATAAATCAACACCACCAAGTCACTACAGTTGCAAACCACAAGAATAGAAAGAAAATTGGTTGTGGTAACAACACAACCTATAGCCAAAGAGAAGAAGCGGACAACCAAGCTAAACCAAGCAGCACACAGCAAGCCAACAAGCCAAAAAGAAGAAGCAGCCAAGCCAGAAAAAAGGAAGAACCTAGAGCCCACTGGGAAGCTGAAGCAGGGACTGCCGAAGGCCAGATCTAGCCAAAACTCAACCCAAATTCACTACAACTACTTACAATCAACCAATGGAACATCAAAGGTCCAAATCTCACCCCCTAAGCACGAATTCAAGCTTCAAATTTATAGAAAACTCTCAATTTTTGGATACGTATAGTTTTTAAAACATTCGAAAAATTGAAAGACTTACCAGATGGCCAACGAAATCAAAAAAGAAGTATATCGAGTGGCATGGTGGTATTGCTGACTCCCAATTGATGACATCATCATGTACTATGATGAAGTTAGCCCTAGTTTGTTTCCAGAAATTCCTCTGTTGAGTTCTACTATTTCTTATCTATGTTTCAGGATCACAACTCGTTCTGATACCATGTAAACTTTGATCGAAGAAAGAGAGAAGAGAAAAAAAGAAAATATATTATGGCACAATTAGTCTTTGCAACATATCAGAGGTCATTATAAGTTAGGACAACATAAAATAAAATAAATAACTAAACTACCCCTAATAATAAATATACTAGACTATATAGTAGTGTAACAAAATAAAGTAAACGACTAAATTACCCATAATACTAAATATACTAGACTACTATAACAGTACTTCGTGTCATTTACATGACATTTCGTAGACATTAAATTGAGGTGATCAATGGATCAACAATGGTACTAGGGTAATAGATAATTGATATTGGAAGAGTTTCACACATTGTGCGTGATTCTCACAATTTTGTTGCTTCCGCTGTTGTTGTCCCATATGAGTTGGTGGATGGAGATTCTTTGGTGGAAGCAACAGTTTCCTATTAGAAAAGTGGAGTTGAGCAATGGAAATGGAAGTAGATGTTGGCACCAGGAACTGGATGCCATGTTAGACTTTGCGTATTATGCTGAAAGTAAAGTTCTGCTTCATTCTGGATCAGGTGTAGGGAGAGGAAAAAGAAAGGGGGTTTCAGATGTTTTGCTATGAAGGTTGTACACCAATAAGTGCATTTACAGAGTAGAGGTAGGAAACTATGTGCATGTCTTGAAATATAACTATATAAGGTGCTAAAGAAATTCACTTATGATAGACATAATAGCCCATCTAAACTCTGCCAGTTACATGATGTGCACAGTTCAATATTTAGAACTTCTCTTGCTAGTTATTCTATATGTCTAGTTATTTGAAATGAATTACTCATCTCTTTGTTTCGGTATATTGGCACACAGACTGTGAGGGGGAAGTGCTTTGACAAGTGTATCACCAAACCAGGGAGTAGTCTGAGTGGGAGTGAGAGTAGTTGCATTTCCAGGTGTGTGGATCGCTACATTGAGGCCACTGGTATCATCAGTAAGGCCCTTTTCAGTGCACCACGCTAGATATTTCAAGTAAGCACTTCTTGAAGAACACCAAAGCATTGGAATTTAAGTGAAAAAAAGGAATTCATGAGAGAGCCTAGAGATTTTGTTTTCTGTACCACTTTTCAATTTTCAATTTTGTTATGAGGAAAACATTCTGTTTCTCATTGAAAACTAATATGCAAACGTTAGGTTTCAGCAATATGAACAGTAAAATTAAAATTTTAACTTAGTGACAGGTTAATTTTCTATTGTTGAATAATTCTTGCTATCTTTATTACTTTCTTCTTTCTCCTATTTCAGTGTAGTATTTTTAAGCTTTCATCGAAGAATGATTACAATTCAATAATGGTTACGCTTACCAAATGTTGGTGAGTCTGGTGCTGGATGACTATTTATTGGATTAATTGTCCAGCTATCTGGTCAATTGGCTGAGCATAGGTTAGATTTGATCAGAAACTTCGATACAAATATGCTAAGAAAGTATACTAGATGAATAACCGCTGGCCTTGAAAGCTCCTAGCATATCAAGTAGCTAGGAATGTTGCTACCTCAATCGAGGAACAAAGCTTTCTGCTAGTATATCCTACGCTCTTTCTTCATCTTTAATTTGTATTATGCCTTTGAATTGACTATATCCATTCCACGTCAAGGCGTTTGTATTGCGCAAACAGTAGAGGGGCTGATTCAAAACCATCAAACTCTTCCTCTCATAAGGGATGCAATCTGGATTCTTATTCCCGAAGTTTTCCCCAATAGGTGTGTTTGTCATTCCAAGCCAGGGCCTTTATTCGTTAGTTCATCTTGACGCAGAAATATGACAAACCATTGTATCACATTCACAATGGTAAACTGGTGGGATGGGAGTTATGGTCTCAACTCTCAATTCCTGTCGCCATCGCCATCAATAAAAAGTATGAGAAGTCAGAGATCTCACTGCTGTCATGCAAGTTGTTTAGCTGTTGCAATGCATTTTCAAAGGCTACATTGCAATTTCAGGAGTCACACCTTCATTGCATTACGTTTTCATGTAGAAATTCAATTAGCAAAAAGTACATGAATACTTCAGCTGCAACAGACAAATAGCACATCAGTTGTATGGTTACAAATTGAGTTTGAATGCCAGCACAAAACATGCAAGCAATACAAATAACTCCTTCATTTTGCCAACAAAGGAACTTTTAATTCACAAAAAGCATCACAGTTTAATGTAGTACAAGATCAGACATGGCCTAGAATCTCGGTGCTATCTTCCATGTATCACCACAAGAACAAACAGTGAAGGAACACATCCCTTCCACCTATTTCCTCAAGGTCTGTAAGATGTACTCAGCATAAAGGTCCCTGCACCATTTTAAAAAATTGCCTTTAGACAGGTGGAAAAAAATGCTAGAAGTTCCAACTTCAAAGTGGATATATATGCATGTTGATTACCCAATTTGGTAAGAGTACAAATTTATCTACATTGCTAAAAGGTCCATGACTGATGATCGAAGCTAAGGATAGCACGAACAATCAGCTATTACTTATTAACCAGCAGGCATCTCGACTTCCGTATTCTCCTTTACCTTGCAGCATCCTTAGGAACCATGTAGTTTCCTTTTCCGTTTCAAAATTACTGAATGATGGAAATATGAGTTTCACGTAACCTGCTGCTATTCATTTGTCAAATTTGATACTTACATCGAGTACTGGATAGCATCATGAGCAGTAGTTGGAGGCAGAAACTCGTCAACTGCAACCTCTTTGTTCTCATTCTTTTTGTCTAAATTCTTTGTCAAGAAAATTCAGCTTGCAATTTTTTGTCACCTCCAGACATTAGACTAAGAGTACCTACAGCTCATAAAACGTTGTTTCAAAGCTTAAACATGGAAATATGAAAAGGATACAGTCTTCAAAGAACCGACGGATCTCAGCTAGGCGGTGAGGGGGAAGCTGGTTGATATCGGTGTAGTGGCGATACTCTGGATCATCAGCACACACTGCGATGATTTTGTCATCCTTCTCTCCCTAACAAACAATCAAAATTATGTCATCGATGTATAATCATTGGGTTAAACGAATAAAAATGCTTTTGGGGCATCGATAATACCTGATCAATCATAGGCATCAGTCCTATGGCCCTGGCTCGAAGGAAACAACCAGGAAGGACCGGTTCCTGTTGAAGAATTCGATTTACATTTAGTTGACCGTCTTACAAAACTGAAAAACAAAGTTTTGATTCAAAAAAAAAGACCAATGATTCTTCCTGAAAGCGAATCAGTCTGATTCTCCACCAATGCCTTGGTTGTATAGGAAAAACAAGAGTTATTTCTCATACATGTGTACATCTTGTATTTTTCACCTACCTGCATGAGTACTAGTACATCCATAGGGTCATTATCTTCACACAATGTCCGAGGAATGAAGCCATAGTTGTGAGGATAGACCACTGATGAATATAAGACGCGATCAACCTGGGCATCCATTGGAATTGTTGGCAAAGAAGCTATTACAAAGGCTAAAAGCAATAGTATGCATGTCCCTTTTCACCAATTTTGATTAGCAGACAAAGCATCTGTAATTTGGTATTTGACAGTCAAATATTAAAAGCATGTAGACATACGCCACAAGAAAAGTGGATTGCTCTGCCATACCTTGATTAAACCGGTCTTCTTGTCAAGTTCATATTTGACTTTACTTCCTTTTGTAATCTCAATAACCTGTGTAGAAGTAATATTGTGATGACCAATCAACGACCACATGGGATAACTTAAGAGAATAAAACAGTGCCCATGTTCTTAATCTAGATAAGGATAGGTAATGAATATTGCTTAATAAGGCATACAATGAAACATTTTGTAAGTTGTCAGCAGCAAATGGTCAGCTGCTGGCATACAGTAAAATGGATTAGCTCATCTTCATTTGTAACCAAGAACAATAGGTATCAAATTACTATCAAGCTAAACACAGCTATAGCTAAGCTTTGGAAGTAATAAGCTGACTGAATTGGGGCAATGTGATATGTTTTACACAATACTTAACAAATCAGGTTTTCACAACAATAGGTGAACTGTGATAGATGCTTGAAGAAATAATCGGAGGGCATAAGCTGAATAACTACATACAACATTGACAATCTGGGGAGCTCCGGGTCCTGCATGCAAGGCACACAAAGATATCATTTGTTGTTATCAATTGTATGCAGCCTTGTGTTCTGATTCTGAATATATCAACATGAAGTGTACCTATCTCAAGATCATGCCAAGGATGGGCAGCAACAGATCTCCTTGACAAAGATGAAAGGATCCTCTCATTCAGGCGGGGAGCACTTCTTTGTGGTGCAGAGTTTTCGTTTGTATCATTGCTCATGATTCTGGTTAAATCAAGTATAAATGAAAAGTGTCATGGCCGTCAAGCTCATTTCCATTAGTCATTTCATTTGCAACTGTTTATTTGATGATGAAATGAAATTCTCTAGAGGAGAAGTATATACTACTATTACTAGCAGATGTGAGATTGAAGCAAGTAGTAACTTTAATGATATTGCTTCACGAAATAACTAAAGAGTTGTATACTATGCTTGCAGTATGTGTTGGATGAAAATATTTATCCCAAAAATCACCCATAAGCTGCCTATTTCTTGGGATCTTGAATCTTGGCTTGGCTTATATTATACACACGCCAAATGAAATTCAAAAACTAAACATCACATCCTTCATAGCTCAATGGTTGATCGAATGGTCAGTCCCAAAAACAAACAGGCATATAGAAAGAACGAACGAACCAACGAAGGGTTTGAAGCCAAAAGTAATTGTATGAATAGAAGAAAAGAAAATGGAAAAGATTAGTAGCTTAATCGGACTCCTATCATATCAAAAAAGAAAGACCCAATGCCGGGGATGATGATCATCTCTAATATCAGATTGAATTACTCTGATATGAGCTCTGGTCAGAAAACCAAAAATCGCATTGAATTAACGAGAGAGTAAATTCCAAGAAGCCAAAGTCAACGTCTCCATATGAGCATTTGATTAATAACCAAGAAAACAAAAAAAAAAAAAACATAAAGAGTACATCAATTGAATATACACAAAGCCAGTAATGGATTGCACAAACATAAAATCTGAAAGAGAGGGAAGATAGAGAGACAGATAGATAGACGTACCTTCAAACTTGTTGGACAATAGAGATGCAAGAGACGCAGCTAACCGAGGATCCGACGGGCTATTTGGCTTTGGGTTGTATGCAGACGACTGCGAGTTGAGTTGAGTTCATTATATAGTAGGGAATATTACGCTCAAATTTGTGCATTAGAACCCTGATGTTTGAAATATTATATATAAATCATCTAATATTTATAATATTATATATAGATCATCTAAAATTTGTACACGCGTAATATTTAAACTCCTGCCATCAATATCAATTAATATATTCATTAGTATATTGTATTCAAATCCCCTAAAATTTATAGACATATGACATTTAGATGTCTCAAATTTAGAAGATTATACTTACACCTCTTATTAGTTACAAAACTAACGGTATTTGTAAATGATTAAATTATCTCACTTAAAAATAAAAGATATTGTCCATTACATTTGATCTCTTATTTATTTTTTTGTTTTATTCCAATAGACAGTATAATTGTATACAAATGAGTATTGAATTAAGTTCTTTGATATATTTATATTGTTCACAATTTTTTCCTCAAAAAATTTAGACTTTATTTGGTTTTTATGTCAATGGATAACATAATGGAACATCAAGATGCGTTTTTTTTTTTGGAAAGGCCATCAAGATGTGTTTATTAAGCTTACTTCATACGTTCGTACTTCATGACGGAAAAATTGACTCAAGATGAAAAATCTATTTAGTCCAAGTCCAACTATCTTGTCAAGAATTTTAATTTGAATAGGATTTTACATATCATAGATAAATTAACGTACAGATAACATCTAATCAACATATAAAGATAAAGGTCTAATCCTTATCTTTCTATGATTGACTTGATGCTCCATCTTTTAAGTCATTTACTGACTTAAGCATCGGAGACTCGACTCCCGAAGTTCCTCTCCGATCTCCGACTGCTTTTGCAGGTGATCGAAACCCAACAAATTGACATGAATGTTGTCACACCCCATCCCGAAAGACTTATTTGGTATCTCAAATATGGAAATATAACTCGACACGTGATAATAAATGCGTCTGTAATGCGATAAACCATTTAAAATCAATAATACCAACGAATGATCTCATAAAATAGACAAACTATGCAACTCTATGACAGAGTACACAACTCTGTAACTCAATACAACACAAAGTATTAGGGAATTCATCCCTTATGTCAACAAAGAAATGGACACTCCTATACAATATATACACAACCAAATTTCTTTAACCTCTCATCTCGATTCTGCTAGTGTTGTAGTGGACTCATTCTAAACTTCAGCTTCCTAAAATCAAATATTTTCTCATTGTACTGAATATCATAATAAATGAAAATATTGATCAAATATCATTTCACCAAAATATGTTCATAATCTGAAGAGAACTGTAACACCCTCTTCCACTTTCTAATATTTCAAGAACACTAATAACCTTCACAATCATTAAATGATACAGTCTCCAAATAATGAATAAATTCTGATACTAATTGCATATACATTAATTTTATGTACATCCAGACTATTACAACTTAACCCTTATAACATAACACATTTTCAAATCTTCGCTAAAGAAAACATCGACAGTTCAAACATATGCGGACTTTTTTCCACTAGTTAATCTAAAAAAGGGGAAATAGTGTAGGGTGAGCATCAACAGCTCAGTAGAGTAACTCAATTTCCAAGCAAATGGTTTGAAAATAGTATAGTTTAGTATGATTGGGCAAGAATCCAAACGAGCATTTGATACATATATGTCAGCAAAAACGTCATTTCATGTGAAACTGTAACAGTTAAATAAAACTGTAAAAGAGAATTCAAAAATTCAAATAGAATGTTACACTGGTGGGCAATTCATCCTAATAGACCACTGAGGGTTCATATGAACAAACGATCCAATAATTTAGGGGACTTTCACCCCAAGAAAAATACGCTCTCAAGTCAATACAATCCAATTCAATACCCAAGTCCGAAGAGCAACAGGGCCACCCAGACATTTACAAACTCAATGAGTACCCTCTACGGCCTCAAACTGGAATGTAAACTATTTTGCCACTCGAACTGTGTGCACTTATATTTCCATAAAAAAGATCCCGAAGTTTCATTCAATTAGAGTAATTCAAGCAATGCAATTATTTCCAAAACATTAGTGCAAACCGCACTTAGACATCCTAATTTGGGTTCGGATTCACGTCAATATTCAAAACACTCAATCATATATTTCAAAACATGCTCAAGAATCATAAATAACATATGAAATAATTTAAAAATAAGTTTGGAAAGCATCGCCTGTTCCAGAATTGAGAAACCCTAACAAACAAAAACTTGGGTACCATCTATATCGCCAAATGAGAATTCAAACCTGCACCAAATAACAGTTAAAATCCTTCCATCCCTTTTTTCTTATTTTATTTTTTTTCTATTTTTCTATCTTCATTTTATCTCTGTTAATCAGTTTTAATGTCACATATAGGGTTCTTTTGAAACTTAGCGTTGGCGTTTAGCATATTTAAACATTCTGAAGGTAATCTCCACGTGTTAAAACAACTCTAACTCAAATTATATAAATCCAATTCTAACAAAATACATGGGAGATGAACACAGGCTCGTAGGAATTCACTTTCACCAAAAATCACTATTTTTGAATACTAAATACTTGTTCAAAGTAACTCCTAAAACTAGGTATAAGTTACAGGATTTTTAGGTTTCAGCAGGTCATGATCATCTTTAGAAATTCACCAAAAATCGAGTTTTCATCCTTTTTCAGTGAGACCAAAGCCAAAATAACCCTTTATGAATCTATTTCAAACCCTCAAAGTTTAAGATTCATAAACAAACTCTAACTCATAAAACCAATTATAAAACTACATGTTGTCCAGATTTTCCAGAACAATTTCTATGGACTGTGGCTAACTTTCAGAAATCACCAGAAATAATATTTATTTCCATTTTACTTGAAACCAAAACTAAACGAATCTTTTTTCAGTATATATTATAGCCTCAAAATTTCAAAATTATTAAATAATCGTAGCTTATGAAATGAATAAGAAACTCACCTACTTCCAGAATTTACAGGATCATTTCTTCTTCTTATTTCTTTTCTTCTCCACTCTTCTCTTCCTCATGGTTCAGCTCCTTCTCTTCTTACCCATGCGTCTCTCTTTCTCCCGCACCTAAGAATAACACCCATGAAGGCCTTATCTCCTTTCCACCGAAACCACCCTTCTTTTCCCACCACTTCTACTTTCTTTTCTACTCACAAACCCACACAACACACCATGCCCTGCTTGTCCCTATTGTGTTTTCTAATTTGTTTTATATTTCCCTTGATAGCTGACTCATTCCCAGCCCCCTTAGGTTAATTACACGTTGCTAGAGGAAAGCATAATGCACACCTTCCTTACGCCTTATGCTTTATCACTTACAAGGTAGACACCTATCATTTTCTTTTTATTTTTCTTGACTTTTATTTCTCTAATATGTTATAAAATAGAGAACTTATGGAAAACTGCCAACTGACCCATACAACATATGATACTATATGATGATACCTTAAAATAAATCCCAAACACCAACTCATAAGGTCAACTCAGCTCAGGAGGTCAGACTAGACGAATAGAACTCGGAATAGTAGAGCTGGAGGTCCTTTCAAGATAAGTAAGGGCAATAACAACCAAGGCAACAGTTGAAAGATCACGAGAGGTTCCTAAAAGCGTTAGGAAGCAATAATCAAGGCACTTAATCTCAACCAACCAAGATCTTCTCCTATAATCAAGGAGAACCCCACAAAATAAGGGCAAGAATCTCGGCTAAGATCCCACTGAATAGGGAACAGCCCTATAAATACTATGTAACGCCCCCAAGGAACGAGAGGAACCCTAGAGGCAAAAACTAGTCATTGTACTCTTGCAATCATCATTATTGAAAGACAAGGAGCAAGAGTCCCCATTAAAGAGTGGATTAGTCGAGCTCCCAAGCTGGTGAACCACCATATTCCTACTGTGTTAATTCCCCAACTCCCCGGACAATTCTCAGTATCATTCACTCGAGTCTAGTAGCTTAGATTCCAATAATTTCAATATTGTTTCTTTCATTTACTCGTCATCACAAATTTGCATCACGTTGAAATACAGCATCAGTTTGGCGCCGTCTGTGGGAACGACTGTTCCTGTTACAAATAAAACTGATTTTTTAGTAACTGATGGTATCAATGCGAAACATGAGCCGAAGTCAGACCAATCCTCTACGGATGTAAGATCAGTAGGAAGCCTCAAGTAACAGGCAACCCAAAAATACTCAAGAAGCATATCCCCCCATGAGGGGTCTTCCTATGAATAATGAGATGGAGGCCCTTTGTCTAGTCAATGAACATCTGATAAAACAGAACGAAGTGCTTTTAAAGCTCCTACAACGCCCACCGGAGGCACGACCGGCCCAAGGAGGCCAGAATAACCCACCACCAAGAGAGCAACCGCATCTCGACCCCCTCAGAGAAGTTAATGAGGTAGGAGAGAATAGTCAAACCTTTGGGCAAGAACCTCGCCTACCCCCTAGGAATGGACATAACGAGGAAGTGCAAAGTCAGTAGAAGGAAGGGGAGAGGAGCGACTTCTTTCCTTATCAACAGGAAAGAAGAGAACACCATTGGGAGCGACGTTTCAAAGACATCCAGCAAGAGCTCAGCCAGATGAAGGAGGCAGTGAAGAGCAAGGCCTCAGTCACTATGGATGCCTTAGAGTAGTAAACCAATTCACATTCACTGCTGGGGTGCTGCACTTCCCTCTCCCACCTAAATTCAGAATGCCGCAGGTGGATGCTTTCGATGGGACAAAAGATCCCATGGACCACCTCAACACCTATAAAAATCAAATGGAGTTGCATGGATATCAAGATCCAGTGAGATGCAGGGCCTTTACTATCACCCTGAAGGACTCAGCCTTAGCATGGTTCAACAGACTCCCCCCAGCCTCAATTTCCTCTTTTAAAGAGCTGTCAATCTCGTTTGTATCCCACTTCATTGGAGCTCGGACCTATAGGAAACTGAGCTACCATTTTTTAAATGTGAAACAGGGA